AAAATTACCAATTCCAGATATGCTTCACATTGCTGTTATGCATCAAAGTACAAACAGGTGCAAATAGAATCATGCAGTTTAAATTTAATCTGCAATTTTGTGTTATATTTTAACACCTGGAATGCCAGAATCTTAAACACTATCAACTATTTTATTCACCCAAAAGGATGTACAAGAGCCTGGTGTGAAACTTAAAAATATACTGCAAGGAAAATGTGGACCTTAAACAATGTATGTCATGTTCCCGATGGAGACTGTGAGATCTTGCCAGTTCTACCTCCTCCATTTTATCCTTCCTTGATCTCCAAGGTCCCACATGACTGCCATTGCCTTGTTGTGGTTTAGCATAGGGCAGTTTCTTCATAACCATCAATGTTTTTTAATAATCACATCAAGGGATCACTTATAAATAACAGACAATCCCCAATTCTCCCCTTCCCTATCCACGCCATTGTCTTTACAGGGCTCCTGTCACTATGGCATAGCAAAAAGAGGCCATGAGTAAGTAACAAATTAACAAGAAGATAACATAGGAATCTTCTACTAAGCCCAACAGGTCATATCAGCTTCCAAATTGGTATTAAATAGTCCATTATATTCTATGTGGGGGCTTTTATTAAGTCATTTTCTTAAGTCATCTAGTAAATGTGTAAAGTAAAAAGTTAAATTTGTAGATTCAGTCAAATAGTCATGCCAAAAAAAGCTGCATTCCAACACCATTCTATGTGGAAGGTATATTGCACATGCATTTTTTATCTTGCTGCCTGCACAGTACTTATTTCTTAAATGCCTAGATAGTTGCTCTGAACTTGAAGAAAGGGTATCAGGGATGCATGAGTCAAAGGAAATTCAGAGCAAGCAAAAGAATAAAGATAATGGAAATAAGTAACATGGATATTTTGTAAGTTTCAGAACAGGCATTTGAGCTGAGTGACTAATTCATAAGCCACAATAAACAATTTTAATCATCTGATTTTTTAGTTGCCAGTGAACAGGTTGTGATTTGCTTGGATTTGGTATTCAAATACATTTAATTAATTTTTTCACATATCATTTATTCTACAGTTTTCTTCTCAGAATTCAAACTATGTTACTTAGTTGTGACTAGTCAAATAAGTCATATGGTATATTTTATTCCCTGCATGAATTAATGGAACTTTCTGGTGCTAATGCTCCTAGAAAGAGAATAAGTTTCTTCCATGAGAATCCGAGTGTGTGATCTTAAATTTATTTTTATCAAACAGTTGGTAGAATAAAAGTTCATGGAAAGCAAGGACATAAAGGGCATAAACTACTGAGAGGAAGGATGAGCTTATGGTTAGGTCATTAGAAAAGCACTGGGGAACCACAAATTCCATTCCCAGCTCTCCTACAGACTTTTTTTTGAAAAATTTCATTGCACCCTAAGTTTCAGATCTGTAAAATGGAGATAATATTTCATTTCCCCCATCCTTTGTCTAATTTGTCTCGATTGTAAGCTCTGTTGCGTGAGAACTGTCTCAGGAGATTCTTGCAAAGAAACTATGATAGTGGAAGTTCCGGTGAAGTATTTGCTATAGTTATAAATAACCAAGATAAAGCAAACATTTAAAGAACAAAAAAAAAATGCTGAAATGATTTTGTAGAATTCACCCAATTCTACTTTCAAACACATAAGAGATAATGCAAAAAAGCCGATCTAACTGAAAAGCAAAACAATGATTCAGATACAGATGAATGTGGCGTGCATTATCATTTGTTTCATTTTTCTGTGGTTGCAAAATTTTACAAGTTTATATTTCTCATATCAAATATCTTCTTTTTCCATTTTAAAAAAATTAGGACATTTAATGGAACTTAACATTAATGTGTGTTTTAAAACTGTGACAATATTTTCCACCTATGGGGCACCTGGTCAGGGCAAAATACTGTTGTTTGAGTGACTGTATCATCTATGCTGGTATCACAGGTAACCATTTTCAGTAGATGGAGAGAAAAAAATCAGATCCACAAAAACACATTAGTTGATTAGATGTTATACATCAAATATTTCTAAATGGCAGCCCACTAAAATGTAGATTGGGAGCAACATTTAATTGTATTACTTAGGCCAAAGACAATCAGAAGAAGATTAATTTGACACAACTAATTAACTCATAAACCCATCGTCTCTTTCAATTTGAGCCCAGAATTGGGCTTAGATCACAAATAAAGTGAGTTTTGTTGTCTCTTGCAGGTGCCAATGCCTGTTGTGGATTATGGCATGATTCAATAAGATTTGTCAGGAAATCTATGGACTAGTATAGAAGAGATATTGTTGGTTTGGACTCAGGGATATTAACAGACTCTAGCTACTAGCTATTTTTTTATGATCACTACAGGTTTATGGTTATATTTTTTTAAAGATGGAAGACTGCAAAACTGATGTGTATGTTTTATTTATTACATGCCACCATATCAGAAACTATAATATAACAGTTTTCATTATATTTTCTTCAGGAGTTGCCTGTACTGACCCCCCCCCCCCCCCAACTCTGTTCTCTTTTAATTCCATTTAAATGCAAATAATTTACTAAAACAGCTAACAGAAAATATTAAAAAGTATTAAATACACATTCCATAACAATACTGACATAAATGTCACAAACTACTTGCATGTGCTAAAAACAACTGTGTGAAAGTCATAATATACCTGTCCTTAATTTTTCGTTTCACTATTCTTCAGAGAGTTCTATATTTTTGGTGAAAATGCTATTAAGAAAAGTTTCAAAGTTTACTTGTAGAGGTGCAAGTTATTTAACTGGTATGAAATAGGACTATGGATAAACATGAGATGTAAAGATTGTTAAATTACCTAAGTTCTTATACTAGGATTCTATGATTAAAAATTGAGATTATTATAGTCATAAGAACAGCAGAGAAGAAAATTTGAGAAAACCTAATTATATTTAACAAGCATCATGACGCACATAATGAGAACATGTCCTAACCTCTCAAGAAAAGAACACTGCAAAAGGTAATCTGTGTAATCACCTTTATTTTTCAAAGGAATCTAGAATTCATGCCTGATACAGAATGGCTATGTTTCCCCCAAGTTATTCATTTAATTACTAAATTAAATTTAATTCCTGTCTGAAATTTACTTGCCTGAGCCTTGGGAGATTAATAGTTATTTTATTCTGTAACAAATTCCCTTTTTAAAAAACTTCTGCTTAATGTAAGAATATGCTAATTTTTTGCTTAGTTGAGAGAAGAAATCTACCCCAAAGGTTGGAATGAACTCATTTACTATGTATCCCTTACTGTCAAGGATTTTATTACAATTAATATCTCCTATACTTTTCTTTCATATTTAAGTATCTCAAATACGGCAAGTCTACACAGCAGGGTAAAAGCCAAATTCAATTATGCAACTTGAGCTATATCAATTGTGTAACTAAAGTAGAAATATTTTAATTGGACTTTTGGTTCTGTCTACCCAGCAGGAAGTAAAAGAAAGAACACTCTTCCTTTGACTTCCCTTACTCCCCATAAAATGAGTGTTACAGGAGTTGGAGTAAGAAATCCTTCGACTTGCCATTATTTCAAAATATGGCTTGCAGTGTAGACACACTCATTGTTATTTCAGAATAACATCAGTGATTCCTAAATAATGCTGCTGTGCAGACATAGCCACACAGATTTCATGTAGATTGAAATATCTAATGCTTAATGTACCTTTAAATGCCAAATCATCAAACTCATGTGAGGCTTAACATTCAAAAACATCCACTATTTAGCAGTGGCTCCCAGCCTCTCCAAACTACTGAATCCCTTTCAGGACTCTGATTTGTCTTGTGTACCCCCAAGTTTCACCTCACTTAAAAACGACTTATAAAATCAGAGAAACGTACAAAAAGTGTCACTGCACCATCAAGCAACTTTTCTGTATTTATCATTTATGCCATAAAATAATCATTTGCACCATAAAATAAATCAATTGGAATATAAGCATTGTCCTTACATTTCACTGTATAGGAGATAAAGCAGTATAAATCAGTCATTGTATGAAATTTTAGTTTCTACTGATCTTACTAGTGCTTTTTGGAGCCTATTGTAAAACTAGGTTAGTATCTAAATGAAGCCCTCTGTGTATCCCCAGAGATATATGCACCTCAACTGAAAACTATAATTTCACTGTAGGAAATGTACCAGAAAAAACGCCATGTATTGTGCTTTTTTTAAATTTTCAATAAGAATATATTGGATGTGATAGTCCATTTCCCAAAACTGAAGTGCAATTCCATCACACCGATAAACAAGCAATTTAATCCATGCTTGGGAACCCTGGAACTATTCTTCGGTTTCAGTGTTGTAAAAGTGCCAGAACCTGCCCAGAAAAGAGCACAAACAAGCCTCATGGATCTAATCTCAAACTGCAGAGCAGGTGTTTGCCTTAACATATTGGTCTGAATGGAGGGGCCACCTCGATTTCACTCTTTCTGGCTCCCATCTCTCCCTGCAGCTTTGAGCCACACACCAGATTCTTTGCAGGTCGGCAGGCACGCTGGGAGGAAAAGCCGGGACTGTCCCGGCGACAGAAGGGGGAGGGAGACACTGACACGGCAGAAAGGCGCTCGAGGCGGCTCCCCCGCAAGCCGAGGCTGGCTCGGGCACTGAACGCCCCTAGTGAGCCCGGG